GGAATTGAGAACACGGCCCAGATCTCCCAGTAAGTGGCAGACACCCAAGTCCTGGGTCATCACCTGTCAGTACTTGAACTCAGGCCTCCAACAGAAGGCATGGGCACCCCCTGTGTTATCTTTACCATTAGGCTGAATGCCTGCTGCTCGTACGTTTGAGAAAATACTAATGGATACTGTAATTCATTACACTTCATGAGCTTTCAGTATTTTGTCAAGTACTGCATACAATTCATCTTCATGCAATGAAATAGTTGACCCGAGTTACTTCTGGCTCTTAATCTATTTTGGTAGCCACAGCTTCTGCCTCTTGTCTGTACCTTTGCTTCAGATCTGTTAAACTACTCACCTTTCCTTCAATAGGCAAAGTTCTTTTCTGTTTTTCTCTCTTGACAGCCACTCCTTTTTCTTTTCCTATCCGTGAAAACACTCCAATTCCTTCAAGAACCATATCTAATCACTGAATTCCTCATGATACCTTATATTAAACCCTCTACACGCTATCCTTCACACTAGTGTGATCTTCTGTGCTGAAAATGAATTAATTGAGGATGTTTGTGCTATTTGGTATGCACTTTTGCATCTCCTACATCAAGCACAAGACCAAGTCTGACTTTTAGCAAATTGAAGGCATCCATGAAGTATCCTCAGACTCCCACTCTGCCCTGATCACAGGACCAAATGATGATGCCAGGAAAAAGATTTTATAAGCTATAAACAAATCAGGAAAATAAGCTTATCAAACTTGATTCTAACTGGATGAATGGTTCTCAAAGTGAGAACAAAAACATGAAATTACAAAATATTAATGTACAAGATTGCTGGGGTTTTCAAGAAAGTTTACTTAAATACATCTTTCATAATGTGTCCTAATTGCTAACTTCATATGTTTACTTCCAGTCACCAATAATTAAAATGATAAAAGTTTATATACTCTCATATTTATTTTTGAGTTTCCTGATAGCATATAGTTTCTTGCGGCAAAATGTATTGCAAAAAATAGGATTAACAAAGAGAAAATCATGCCAAATATACATCAACTTGAAAATCTGCATTCAATAAATAACCTAAGAGAGTGAACAGTACTCACACATAGATGGGAGATTTTATTCCATATCTATTTAAAATTTTTTAATCCTGAGTGACTGCATATTTAATGTGTGTTAAAAAGTTTTAAAATGGAAGTGCTATTGCTAGTTTAGGACATTTCGAAGCAGCAAAAAGCCCAGTTGAAAAGTGAGCATGAACGGATTGAGCCTATAAAGCAGATGTTAGACCATTTGCTAAATTTCTAACAATAAGTTTTACCTTTTGAGTTTAGAAAAAAAAAAGTTGTTCTTCCCTACCAGTAACTTTGTACAAAATATACACATGAGCAAACCTCTAACTTTAAGAATGTTCTAATGTAACATAAGAAAAATGTGCAACTTCATTTCAGCATGCTCATTATAATTTCTGTTGATAACTGTTTTTTTTTTTTTGTCCATTAGGGCTCTTCTTTTCACTTAATACTTACATGAATTTGAAGGGATTCTCTTTAGAAAAAAATTGGAACAATATATTTTTAATAGATGGTGTCCATAAAGTTTGTAATGTAAGCCTTCTAACTGCTTCTTCTCAACAGCAATTTATAAAGCACTCTTGAACAAAAAATTCTCTTTTTTACATTTTATGCCGTATTGCTTTTCAATATCAAGAGTTTGAATCTCTTAAAACACAGACTTTTCTTCTGATAAAAAAGCATATCCAACTCAATACAGTTACCAAGCCAAAAAAAATCTATTAAATATAGTTGATGTTTAACTCAATTTTCTAATGAGGAATTTAGATCACTGAGAAAAACAAGGAAAATGGATTCTTAGTAATACCACATCTTGATACTTGAAACTGTTTATGTATCATAATATTATACAGTTTTAAATTTGTTTTAAAATGTTTCTTTATTGAAAGGTAGAGAGAGAGAGATTGACATTGCTAGTTAACTCTCTAAATGCCCATTACAATGGCCCTGGACCGTAGTGCAAGGCCACAATGAAGACGGGAGCCTGAACTTCCCCTTTTTTTTCCACGTAGGTATAACAGCTCAAGCACTTGGGTCATGTTCTGCTGCTTCCTTAGGTACCTTTACAGGGGCCTGGATTGGAAGTAGAGCAGCCAGGAATAGAACTTAGCACATACGGGATGCCGTGCTACAAGTGACAGCTTAAGTTGCTGTGCCATAATGCTGGCCTTAGTTTTAAAATGTTTTTTCTAGGCCAAAGAGCCAATTTTGTCTTTGATATTTTTTTTTTTTCTGTGTTGTTGTGTAGTATGTAACACGTTTCTAAGCTTAGTGTCAAAGGGCACATGTTTTGAACTATTGCTCAAAAATGACAATGAATGGTACAAAGTTCTCATGGGTGCTATTCTCGGACTATTGATACAACATCATATACGAAACTACAGCAGGGTTGCAACAAAAATGTAGACTGAATTTAAACAGAAGTTGCTAAATAGATTATTGTACTTTAGAGTGTTAGCCCCCTTAGCTAAATACTCTGAGAAATCCAATCCAAAGTAACGAAGTTTGAGTTTTGGAATATAATGTTGTGAGTTATGCGTGTTTTTTGTATGAATTGATCTAAATACACACAGAAGATTCATTTCAGTTAAGTGTGTAATAATTGGAAAGAACTTTAGGAATAACACAATTTAGCTTTTCATAAACTTGCTGTCCACATTCCTTGACAGGGTATGCAACCTCTGTGCAGCTTTACCAGCATAATCTGATTTTTTTTTCCCAATCCTGTAGAGGCTTCCTTGCTAAACAATAATTTTTTAATCATGATCAGAAACTTACACTCTCTGTAACTTTATTCCAGTGCAAGAATCTTCAAAAATATAGCCAATATTACCCAAACAAAAAATGGTCCTTCGCAGGTCACTGTTTCAATAGGAGGATACTTCGTCTACTATAGTTTATTCTAAATTATTTGGTCTTAGTCCAAGTTCATACAACAGGATGGTGTGGATTTAAAGGGCCCAGGATTTAGTGCTGAATTTTGCAGCTGATGGCCTAGCCCACTGAAAACTGGAGGATGTAGCATGTGTTGGGTAATCTAGTAAGCAGAATGAAGAATTTGAAAGGAATGACCAACAAATACTACAAAAAGTCCAGGTACCAAGTCAGAAACAGGAGTGACTGTGATGTTCTTGGTGCCATAGGTACATGCTCTATGTAAAGATACCTACATTCAGGCCAATGTCACAGACTGTGGCAATATCAATGGCCATATTGGCAAACATTATATTCCAATCTTCAAAATCTAGAATATCTTTACAAATGCAGGTTTCCCAGTGGCATGGCGTGTACCCTTTGCAATGATGAGAACTCCTTCAATTTTGCACAAATCACTTGGGCTCTTTCAATTAGCTGTCCTTGACTTCAATTTCTTCTATAAATCATACTCTTTGGCAAACTATCAATCAGATGGAGCAAACGAGCTTTGCTAATAAAAAGAAATTCGTTATAACCCTGGCAAACCCTGGCAAATACAGTGCACTGCCAAAGATGATGCTGCCTTCAAAAGATTTTACAGTTGTTGAAAATATTTAATTAACCAACAAATTGAACACAATATTGAAGTGACTAAATTTTGTTTTGAAAGGAAAGGTGAGGATGGTGGGATTCTAGAAAAACAGAATACAAAGTGAATAAGCCTGAGTTGAGAAAAGGTTCTCCTGGGAAAATTGAAACAATATATACTTCAATGCACGTTGAAGAAATGTGAGATCTTGTAGTGTCTCTGTTCCGAAAATTTTGTGGTACCTTGGTCCAACTGCATTTTAGAATCCATGACTACAGAAGGAACAGAAAGTAACATCTGGTTTAACACATTGGGCAATTTAGCTTTCTCCAAACTATGTTAATTAAGAAGTCAGTACCTACAGCCTCACAACAACAGTATTTTGGAAACAGCAAAGGTAATTTCTCCCCAAGGAGCAATACTGGAGATAATTTGTCTAATATTTTTTGGATTCATGATGGGTTTTTAAAAAAATCTACAAAGAGAATGCAAACAATGTGAATGAACAGGGAAATCATGTGGGTGCTAAGTTGCACACTTCTGATATGGTTCTGTACTAAGGAAAATTTTGTCTTTTGATGACAGTACTGATTGTTTGGAAATATTTATACTATTACTTTGACCAGAGAAAAAGTGAAGGTGAAAGAAAACAGTGTTAGGACTAATACATATAGGCAGCTCCCACCAGTCGCCCACCAGTCACAGGAATAGTGGTTTGGTGGGGGTTTGGAAAATGTTAAGTGTTGACATCATGTCAGAATGCTCTATGAGTTTGAGAAACTTCTGGGCATTGTGGGATGGACAAGCTCACATGCAACAGTGTATTTAGTAAAGAAACATTTTATCTTCATTATTTTAAGTCAAAATCCAAGTAAGGAAAACAAGCAAGTTAAAAAGTTACTTTCTATCAGCAAATATTGGCCCTTCCTTACAATAGCACTGTGCTAAAACATTGTTCAATTCTGAATATACAGGCAATTTAGAAATGTAAACATTTTTACATTTCTTTGGAAATGTAAATATTCTTCTAAGTTAACTTATTAATATTTACCTGAAAATATAAATTGCGTAATGATTTTATGAAACTTAATAGAGATCATTAAGTATTTAGGAAAATAAACTGATTGTCAACGGTTATGATGCCCGCATTTTAGAATTGTTGGTTCTATCTCTCAACAGATAGATACGAAATACTTAAAGAATGTTTTATTTTACTCGTTTGGAAGAGACCACAGAGTGGAAAGGACATGCTTCACTGATGTGGAAGTGAAAAAGTTAAGTGCAACGGTTAATCTTAACTAACTAATATTTGTCAACTGAAAATATCATAAATTATTTTATGTAAATTTTTGACTGCTAAGTTAGAAGTAGTCATTTTAAAGCTGCAAATCAAAACAGGTTATAGAGCCAGTACCAAGTAGAAAAAACTCTTACCTGAAATAGTCTTTTGTTCTCTTTTCTTCTCTACTCTCCCTGAAATGAGAAGTGGCAATAAGTTGCAGTGTAGGGCCATGTGACCTTGCTGTAGCTATCATGAAAACTTAGTACATGGCACTTTCCAAGCATAACTACAGCCTCAGTCACGTCCAGCAGTGTCCCAGAGATGGCTCGGGCACAGCTGTCAACACGAGAAATGTTATCAAACCAACTTTTGAAAGGCACAGATAAAATAAGTAGTCATCAAATATGCTGCTGGGTTTTTATAATCTTCTTAATAATTAAGGAATTTACTCATCAATGAGCCACAAATGTGCAAATCCACATAGAAAACACTACTGGGAAATCATATTTGAGAAGGTCACCCAAACAGGGAATACAACAGAAAAATAAGATGTGCCTCCAAAGACGCAGAAGTTTAAAGACATGACAGGGTACAGTAACTATTTTAAGAATGCAAGAGGTATCCATAAAGTTTTGGAAAATGTGGTATATTACATGGAGTTTGACATATATTTGGGATTTGCAGAATTTGGAATAAAAAAAGGCTGACTCCTGGCAAAGGGAATTGTATGGGTAAGGGCACAATGGGATTGGAGCGGAGAGGTATGCTGAGTGCTCACTGAATAACAATGCTGTGCCCGGGAATAGGACTGTCCTGGAGATAATGCAATTATTGATGGGGTCATGGCAGTAAGAGTTGAGAGGAGGGAAGCAGTGGGTGCAGGTGATATTAGGAAAAAAGAAGTAGTAAGGCCAGGGCTACAAAATGGGAGTTGAGAAAACAGTCAAGTTAGCTAGGTCACCTGAGACATAGGTAAAATATGATGGGAAATTGGGATGATGAATTTTGCTTTCAGTCAAGGCAGTAAGTGGAGGATAAAGACTCAGGTGAGTGTCGCTGAGAACACCCACTGAGAAAAGCAAGACACTGTTTCTGGGCTGTGAAATGGCACCATGAGAAAAAAGAAAGAGTAGAATTCCAGGGAGATCAATAGGGTGTAAGGACACAAAGAGTTTGAGAAAGGAGGGGACAGTGCAGTTCACACAGTTGTCACCAGATTGTGAGAGAGCAGTTTTACAGAAACAGGATGGAGAGTCAGTGTGAACCTGGAGAGGTTAAGGACATAGCTTCACGTTCATAAAATATGGCAGCATCTAAATATGCTGGATGGGCAATAGCTTGATGCAGAGCAAAATCAAGGTTCCATTAATGATCAGAGACTGAAGCAGGCTTTAGGACTTAAGACCAGAGCAGTGGTGTGTGTAAATAAAGCTACTGAAGGGAGAGAATTGGTTTGGCATGAGTACGTGTGTGCCACCCTTCCAGCTGTCACTTTGGTTGCCTATCAATGTGTCACAACTGGAAATAGTTATTGTGTGACCATGAAACACATGGACATTATCCTAACACTTATCTAAGTTTTTCTACCACTCCTTCATGTCCCTTAAAATCTTAAAATATGAGGTGTAAAATGCACAATATTGTCTCTTGCAGTTGCCAAAGGCATAGAATTCATTTAACTGGCACCTTGAATAATGGGCCATTTCATTCACTTGGGTGATTTCCAGAGGACTTGTTTGATGCGATTTATTTCAATGATTCTAACAGACAAATTGCACAAAGTAATCCATTTAAAGGACTCATTCATTACAAGTGTGGTGAGACACATCCTCATTTAAGTTTGTGATGAGCAAGCCTCTGTTTACTATTTGGTTATAGATTTAGAGGAATCAGAGGCTGCAAACATTTTTACAGATTTAAAAAAGATAGTATTCAAATACTGAATTACAAAATGTATAAAGAGAAATAGCTTTTTGGAGACTCCTTAACTTATTTTAAGATGAGGCACAAATTCTGAAGTTTGAATGTTTTTGACATAAAAACATACTGTGGTGATCACAGTGTCCCAGTGTTTGATATTTCTTTCTGCTGGTAGTGTCCACCCATTCTGAATCAGGCAGATGTGCAAAAACTAGTAGGAATATACAGAGATAATGGAGGGAAAGCTCTGCAGTTAAGACTTTAAACATTTTTATCTTCCATTTCTGTCTCTCGGGGAGCATCAGATAACAGTACTAGGATACTTAAGGAGCCCCACTCAGGTCCGTGTAGCCTTGTCACCAGCCAATAGCCAGTGTGGAACAGAGGCTGGCTGCCAGTAACCAGCATCAGCCAACTAAGTGCATGAGCCCAGTTAAGTCGTCAGTGCACTGCAGGGCTAGTCAACAGCTTGACTACAACTTCATGGGAGACCTAGACTCAGTATCACTTAGAAAGCCACTCACTGGAAACAGTGTGAGATGGTAAAAGTTACCATTGCTCTAGTTCTAAGCCTTTAAATTCGGGGGAAATTGTCATATGTATTGTAAAATTCAAGTCGCTTACTTACTGAAAACAACATGCTTACAGTGATTCTATTATTGAAATCTACTTACATTTTCACTCTGAGTTATAGATACACTAAATTTCAAATTACAAAAGTCTGAAATGGATATGTAAAAGAACACATATGGATCAGTGCACATACAGCCTGCACTGTTTAACTGCAGGCTTCTTCTACATTTTGTTGTAGGCTCTTTATCTGCTCTCGTTGGATGATGTGGTCTCTCATTTTCACAATGTTCCCCTCTACAGAAAGATGACTCCGAGACCTACATCTCTCGCCAACCTCCGCTTCTTCACCTGTTCTTTGGTTCATGTTCACCCACCCCATAAACAGAATTTCAGATCTCTCCTCTCCCTTCTTGCTGCCATTGCACTGTTCCATACACTTGGATATCTTCTTGCAGGATTAGACTCTTGATTTCTTTCCTTCATTTTTTTTTCCGTCTTTTCAGTTTGATCCTTCCTAAAGATCAATCAGATTGTGACGCTGAATGATTCACCACAGTCTGCTGCCATTCCTCAATCACGACCCAAAAACAAAACAAAAAACAACAAAAAAAAGAAAAACGTTTCCATTACACCAGAAACGACTTCTCTCCCTCAAGTTTCCACTGATGCTTGTCCTTGTAATACATTGCCACGTTAACTCTACTCTTCCTTTACAGCTTAGCCCAAATGCCATCCTTTCCATGAAGTCTTTTCCTTTAGCTAAGCTTCCCCAACTCCCAGGACAAACTTCTGCTCTTTTTTTTTTTTTTTAAATACTTGATTATTTGAAGGGCAGAGTTAGAATGATAGTGAAAGCAAGAGTGGAAGAGATCATTTTTTTTTTTACTTGATCAATCCCCAAATGGCCGCAACTCCTCCCACATGGGTGACAGGGCCCAAGCACTTGGACTGTCTTCTGATGCCTTCTAGTTTACTGCAGGGAGCTGGATAAGAAGAAGAGCAATCTGAACTAGAACAGATGTCAGTGTCAATCCAACCTGGCGGCATCAGACTGGCCTTAGTAACCTTCCCCTGCACTTCTTAAGCCTTTCAATCTTTCGCTTACCATAGTGCTAACTCTCATAATTGTGTGTGGCTTGTTTTCCCCTACTGGATTGTAGCCCCTATAAGGTATACCATGATTTCTGTGTCTCTTGTTTCCAGACATCAACTGCCTTCTTCGAACAAATACTCTTGAGTTGCAGTTGACATGGGAACAATGTGCCATACTCTAAACTGGCCTAAGATGCTGAAAAACATGAAGCATGTTTTAGTATTGCCAAAACTTAGTGAAAGTATAACTGATAAGAGAGCTTTTAGTAGGTATTTATATTGCAACTGGCAACCTAAACAGCCATTATGTTAGAAAAGTGGGCAATAAAGAAACGGAGAAGCTTTTAGAGCAATGAACATGCATTCTATCCTCCTTGGGCTCCATTTTATCACAGATTCCAGTTTAAAAGCAAAGCATTAATGTTTGGTTTGCATCTTATTTCTGTTTAAACTGGATGTGGCACTTCACCTGTGAGGAATTAACTGTAATCTCATAAAAACTGAATTTACAGAGCAAAACAACTCATTGTTATCTGAAAAAAAAAACATATTTAATTGAATGCAAAATTTCATACTTCATGATTATTTGTGTAACCAGAGTCTTGATGTTTTAAAAAGCTATTTTAGACTTGAGGGTGTTGATGGTGCTCCATGGAGAAGCATGAAATCTAGTATGTTTATAATACATTTCAATGCTCTTCTATGGGAGTAGTCTCTAAATCTCAGTGATTGCTTCTGATCTTTTAAAAGCACAGGTACCTAAGTGGCAATTTGATGATGTATCTTCAGTAATCAGTGGGTGAATTTACGTTAGACTCAGAATATCTGGCCTGACATTGTAGCCTAGTGCCTAAATGCTCATCTTACAACTGCTAGTTTCCCATGTGGGTGCTGGCCAATACCCCAGCTGCTCCACTTCCCTTCCTGTTCCCTGGTTGTGGCCGGGGAAGGCAGTCAAGGGTGGCCCAAAGCCTTGAGACCTTGCATCCACATGGGAAACCTGGTGGACACTCATGGATTTGGATCAGCTCAGCTCTGGCCATTGCAGCCACTTGGGGAGTGAGCCAGCAGATGTAAGATATTTGTCTCTTCTGCACTTTGTAAATCTGACTTTCCAATAAAAATAAATAAATCTTAAAAAAAACCCATTCATAATCTCTTGTACGTTCAAGGGAAAATAAATTATGAATGCATATGCAATGCATATATATGTATCTATGTAACATACATGAGTGTACAGGTGAGTATGTTTATGTGTACACCCACAAACAGAATTTTCATGCTCAAATGTCATGCCCCCTGTAAAACAGATTCTCTTCTGCACTTCCATGTTTGTCAAGTCTGTCATGGAATCTTATCAAGCTTTCTTTCCTGCACCACCAATTTCTCAGTAGCCAATTCTAAGTTTGCATTCATTTTCAGACATTTTATCTGCCTGGCTCTGAGAGGTATTATTAATCACATCCTGTTGCTAGGATACCTGAGAATGTTCATTTATGTCCGATGTTTCTCTGGCAAACTGCACTATGAAGAAGGCAGAGATTCATGACAGGGAAAATTACTGTGCACACTCTGTATTTTTAAAAGGAGGGAGAATACATACAGC